CAGAATCACTGAAACAACACCAGTGAGCAAGTGAGAAATGCTAAAAAACAACACCAAAGGCTCAGACGCATTTCCTGCAAGGTCTTGCAACTGGTTGTTGCTCATAGTAGAAGCAACTCCATTCTTGTACTGGATCCCCTGAAGTTGAAGCTGTTCTCCACCAATGTGAAGACGTGCCCGATCGAAATCCCACAGCGTTCCGGATGGAAGCACGGTGGGCACAACCTTGAACAGACCGAGTGACTGGATTGTTGAACTAATAACCCCGTTTTGCCAACATGATAATGTCACATACATGAACACACATGGCACCTGGTTTTTCTTCTCTCACATCAAATATCATATCATATGAATCATATGAACATCGAATCATCATCATAATATGATAATATGTTTCAATAGTATATAATTTATATAATATATATATAATTATATATTATTTGATCCCTTCAGTTATGAACAAAGTGTCTTCCCAGCAAGGAGCATGTCTTGCACTCACTGGTGTTCTGTTGGCGCTGTGGTAGAGATCAGCGAATCGATAGGGCTCATCCGTACTCTGCTGGTTCAATGCGTGCACAAGGCCCACAACCTACCGCTGACATAAGAAAACAATCCTACCCATACACAAGGCATGAGCAGTGGTTCTCACAGTGATCATGTTCTGATATGCTCGTTTGTTTTTGAAATTACAAATTGTGTTGAACATTCATTTATGGATAATGTTTGTGAAGCACACAAGAGAGAACAAGGATAGATAGATAACTTAACATAACTAGTGGTACGCATATTTCTTGCAGCCACACAGAATTACATTCATATGTAGTCTACTACCCATTGCCAAGAAGACAGACCGCAGACAACTTAGACCTAGAATATTGTTTTGCAATGTTCTTGGGGAACGCATTCACAACTGCGCAACTGCCAAACCTCTTGCTCACGCACAGGTAGAGTCTGGAACCACTCATTTCGTCGAAGTTCTTCAGGAAGCTTGATTGGCCAGGACATGTTTCCTAAGCTGATGGTCAATAGGGGTCAGAGTCATTGTCAACAATTGTTGACAAACTAGATTCGTCTCAGCTCATTAGACGACAAGTGATAAGTCAAGTCAAACAAACATGACTATGGTAAGCATAAACTGAGTTTGGTTCTGGAAGCAGCAAGGTTCATGTGGAGGGCTTTCCACTTCTCTCCGCTCTTAGGACTTGATGGCTCCGTATCATCCATATTCTCTTCAGCTTGGGTCTTCTTAGACTCCCGATTTTCCCGAACCTTCTGTCGGCGCGACAACTCAGCTTGCACATCAGGATGGTCTTCTTCGAAAAGGAAGCAATCCTTAAATACATCGAAGCATATTGAAACACTTCAGCTGACTAACAAACATAACATCTCAATTAATAGAACGTAACATAATCATAATGATGTTTATTTAAGATCAACAACAAAGAATCACATATCATATGAATAATCATCATATGATCATATGTCACATATAAGACCACATTCACAAAGCCGATAATGAAGTGCAATGTAGTCTTTTTGCAGAAAAGATTCCACACTTGGGGGGAGTGATCTTCACTCGGGGCAAGAACTTTTTGATGACCGAATCCAAGACGTTCTCTGGCGTGCAGATCAACTCCTCCATGGCCCTTGTCTTGTTGATCCCGATTATGAATAGCCTCTTGCGCCGTTGAGGCAATCCATACTGATCTGCACGCAGAAAGATCAAGCCTGATCTTCCAGATTTCTCATATCATCATACGCCCGCCCAAATCAAACAAATAAAAACTATCTATAATTATGGCTATATAATGCTATATAGCTTTAAATATATTGCAAATATAAACCATATGACTCATTGGTGTCTAATGTGATTCATTGGTGATTTTTGCTTTGTGCTAAACAAGGCACGGATTTCATAGTCTCGATCAACAAGCAGTTGTCGAACATGTGCAGCATTGCTATCCTCAACATCTGAGCCCATGTCAACGTTCTCCATGATAAACCATAGAGGCTGCGACACTTCAAGCACATCCAGATTGCCAGCAAATGTGCGAAAGCTGCTGGACTCCTCAACACACAAACAAACATTGAGTGACTAGTTGAGTCGCTGCCAAGTTGAAACTAATTTGGTTTTAGATGTATGCATACACATATACATATACAAATACAAATTAAAGTTATAAATTTATAGTCAGAGTCATATCATATCATCTCATCTCATCTCATATTATATTTCACAAGTCAAAACTCATATATTTATTTACAAGGAATAACCAACACAATGTCTTGAATAACGTCCAATTAACCAACAAATGATGCAAGTCTAATGAAACGCATATGCCGCATAGGCTCCTGGTCACGATTTGCCATTGCTTGTCGGAACACTGCATCATTTTGAAGTTTGGAAAGGCTTTTGCAGCTGAACCCAGATGTAAAGCCAAATAGTTTCTGAGGTAGCTCCTTGGTTAGTTCATTTAGAATGTTATCAAGCTGGTGTGCTTGCGTGACAAACAATTCAACTAAAAAGCAACAGGCAAAACTTTGCAGCCATGATCAATGCCAATTACAAACAAAGTCACACATGCATTGGTGTGCCGAGCGCAAAGACGTTCTTTATCGCTTTTGAGCTTTGTCACATCTGAAAACAAGCAGCAATCAACCGGCAAGACATGCTTCAACAGCAGGTTCTGCTTGAATTTCTCGATTTCACAAGCCATCTCCATATGTGCCTCCATGGTTATGATGAAGCAAAGACTTAATCATCATATAAAAGAATGTTTAAGATCTTATATTTGCAAAATACAAAAAGACAACAACAGCCAACAACTGAATAATGCATTGATCATTGCTCTTGTTGTGAATGATTCAAGAGTCTCTAGTTTGTTTACAGGTCTTCACACTCGATTACCTTCTAGAGGTGACATGACATAACATATTATGAATGACTGACGACAATGACTTGTGACTTGGCACACATTGGTTTGAGTGGCCTCGAACAAAGTTCCCTTGGACTCTTCGTATTGGTCCAGGGCATCATTCATAGCTCTGCACACAGCATCAGCAACAAGCTCGAAGCCGCCACTCCCTGTGCATGTTGTTGCAAGCGTCCATGCCAGAGGCAAATTTGCCAGCTGCTGTGCAAGCTCCATATCCATGTTCAAGACTGCTGCGACCTGGGCCTGTCACTTCAAGTGTGTCAAGCACTTTTTGATCATTTAGGCTAGTCAATATGGTTCAAAGGAAAGCACATGTCACCCCGTATCACTTATCATATTAAATTAACACAAGAAACATAATCATATTATGATATTATTGTTATACATTTTAAACTATAGACTATAGACATGGACTATAAATGAAAGACTATTATATTATGTCCCAGCCTTCGCAACTGAAAGCAGGAATTGATCCATATCAAATCTGTCATTTTCATCAGCATCACACTCCACGCTCGCGTTGATGTCCATGTCCATGTCATTGTCAGTCTCTATCGCTTCCTGTCATGGAATGCATCATCATAAAATGTCACACCTAGTTAGTCACAAAGTCAATATGCTAATAGGACCGATAATATAATGTTTCGCAAATCAAACCAGAACATGCCTAACTACCTAAGACCAACCAAAATCAATTCACTATTGTCGACTATTGTCATCAAAATCATATTATGCGATATGATTTCAATGTGTCTATGCTTAATAAACCCAGCCTCATCATGAGTCTCACAAGCTTCTTGATGCTCTTGATGGAGGTGTGTGTTCAGTCTAGTAACAAGCTCGATCAATCCTGGAAGTGATGGCTCGCCTTTCATTCGAATGAATGAATCAAAGTCACGCAGATCTTTGACTACATTGCCTTGAGTTTGGTCACCAAAGGACCATTGGGAATCTCTCTGACCTAGGAACTCACCATATAAATTGTGGTTTTCACAGTGGTGCACAAGGTCTTGAACCAAATCTTTATTGTTCTGCTTGTTGCATTGTTCTTGTGATGTGTGTGTGTTGCGCAGCTCATCCTGCTCCTGCTGTGAAGGCGCTGATGCGGCTTTGGAGTCTGGTAATGCATGCTGCTGCTGATGCATCAATTGGGTGTGTGTTTTTGCTTCAGTGACGAAGGGTGAGCATTGCCAGATTTTCAATGGGAACTGGGACTTGTCTGGGTTTGGCGTCAAAGATCCATCTCCAGTGAAATGGAAAATGGAACCATCATTTGCTTCACAAAAGAACTTTCTCGGGTTGTCAGCTTCTATCTGACAGAACAGATCATGCTCCCAGTCAAACTTGAAGTGTTGTTTGCCAATCACTCCAACTGGGTAGTCATCTTCAGGCGTTGGGTCATCTTCCTGGTTTGGTGTCGGCTGATGGCTCGGCTGGTGTCCTGCAACGGCTGCAAAGGTCTGTGTCGAGGCTGAATCATGTTTGGTATCATGACCATGTTCTTGGAGAGATCGATCCTCCACAGAACTGCTTTGGTTTGCTTCAGACTGCTCTGTGGCTGGAGGTTGGTGTCCAGCGATTCGAATGTCTTCGGCCGCCTGAGCTGTCTGTGTGGGTGCTTGGCTCATTTGGCTTGCAATGATTGTACTGTGTGTTTCTTGTTGTGTAGCTGCATTGGGTTCAGTCAATGCACATGAACCTGGCTGTGATGCTGCACGATCAACTTCCGGTTCTGAGCTTGGTGCTGCACAATGCTCATCTGCTGGCTTCGGCACTGAGGTGTCTGCTAGTATCGCTGGCTCTGATGCAATCGGTTCAGCTGCTGCAGGTGATGTTTGCTCTGATGATGTTGTTGGTAGCGCCGTTGTCATCATTGGTGTTGTTGCTGCCGATGCGTCTGCTGATGATGCTGTTGCTTTGCGTTCGTCTGGTGAGGCATCGTGTGGCAATGTTGTTACCGTCATAGGAGTCATAGGTGCCTCTGGTGCATGTGGTTCACTTGCCATCGCTGCTGCTGCTTGTGTTGTTGCTTCATCATTGCCTTCAGCTTGTCCCTGGTCCTCCCAGAATGTGTCTATCAGTGTCTCCAATTCGGTCTCAATGGAGCCTTCATTTGCTGGTGGTGGTTGGTCTGAAGGTGACAAACCACTGCTCTCTGCTTTCGCAGATGGCTTGGGGGCAAAATAGCCCAACACTGACTTCTGGTTTGGAGGAGGTGGCTTGTCAAACGGATTGGATGGATGCTGTTCCAACCGTCGCCTTTTCGGTGGGTGGCTAATGGCATTCTTTGGGGGGCGGTGGTGGCGGCGGCAAACTCTCACTGGAGTCAGAGGTGGGAGCTTGAGATGTGGCCTTTGGTGGAGGGACCAAAGGCTTGGCCTTGATCACTGCTTTTGGCTTTGGCCTTGCAGGAGGTTTTGATTCTTTAGGCTTGGGTTTGGCCTTGGGTATCTCTGCTTTTGGTTTTGCCTTGGGTGTCTCTGCTTTTGGTTTTGCTTTGGCCGTAGCCTTTGCCTTTGCCATTCTTTCTTGGGTCAGTTCAAGTTCTTCTACTTTGTTGTGCAAACAGAGAGTAGTGTTGTTCCGCAATCTAGTGTGTTGCACACCACTGCAAACGTGATATCTCTATTTTGTCACTTGACCCTGAATCGCAACAGTGTTGATTCAATGTCCAATGCCAATGCCAAGGTACATATATAGACATCAGCTGGAACGACATGCTTCAACTGCTCAAACCAAACATGTCAAAAATAAAAGCATCCACAACAATTGAACTAGTCTTTGTCTTTTTTTCATTTTCAGTGTTTCTACCTGAAGCGTCTTTGGTCACCACGAATCACAAAGCTAGGCTATTGTGCTGTACTGTGGCGCTATGGACTGGATTGGTACAATCGTCTTGGTCGGCCCAACCAATTCCACTTTGGTTGTCATAAGAATAAAACAAATTGTGTATATATATATAGACTGACTGTACAATGATTACAAACAACAAGAGTACAACACAGATTTGATAGCTATTGTCCGGTTGGTCCAACCAATACGGGTACAAGTTGAACAGCAATCAACATTGATTCAATATGACAATATGTGGCTTACTATTGGAAACTGTCCAAAGGAACAGGAAAGTTGCAAACAAAATAAGTCTGAGCTGTTGCTGTTCCTCAAGCAGCATGCAAGTGGACTGCAGTGAAAGTTGGCTTGAAAGTGATCCTGCACAAATCGTCTTGACAGTCAACTGTCAACCGTCAATTCAGCCAATGTGGCTGAACACACAACAGAAGACTGCATCCCTGGAGATCACTGGAGATTCGTGCATAGGGAGCTGAACAGATCTAAACAAGATTTGTCAGAGTCGCCTGGAGTTCAGGGCTGATGTCCAGCATTTTTTCCTGTGTATATTTGATCAAGGCATTGATGGTCTGATTGTATTTGCCATTCGCCTTTGCTCCTGTGAAAGCCAAAGAACACCACATGTCACAATAAAGTTGTATCATAGTCGAGTCTTATAGTCAGTCATAGTCATAGTCTTAGTTCATTAAACATATTTCATTGTACAACACTTAATATTAAAACAAATGCTCCTGCCGAAACCCATTCTGCAACCGCTGGAGTGGAAAGCAAAGTCACAGCAGAAGATTCAGCAATATGAGTCAAAGCACTGTGATGAGCTGCACGTAGGTCCTGAACAAACAGTAAAATATAAAAAAAAAATCTCAGAAGGTGCTAAAGAAATAACAATAATATAAATATAATATAAATTATTTATTATTCATGACACGAAACAAACATACCAAAAGCACAGGTTTTACAACTGTCACTTGTCAAGAAAAGATTGCCCAGTCCTGGAGTACAGAGCAACAATGATCATTGCTGCATGCAAACTCTTCTGAATCCTTCTCAACTGCTTGCAACAGCTTTCTGGCCAAATCGCTGGTCTTCAAGATCTCTGACTCAATCTTCTTGGCAAACGATTGAAATTCTTTCAATTTGTTTGCTTCCAAAGAAACTGACGGCATCTTCTTGAGGCAAGCAAGCAATGTAGTTGTCAGCTTGGTGGCACTTGTGTCATACGCTGACTTGCGGCTCTCCATGAGCTTCAACGATGAATCTTTCAACTTATTGTCAAGGTCAATGAACGATGACAACTCTGGAAAAGCAGCTGCAAAGTCAGGAAAGGAACTCAAAGACTTGAAGATTTCCATGAAAGCAACTACAGTCTCGTTCTCTGGGTTTATGCGCTTCACCAACTTTTCCATCATGTTGTAGGCCTTGAGTAGCCCTCGAATTTTGTCACGCTCATCTGGGTTGGCATTTGCTACATTCAATGTATTGCCTTAGTTCATATCCAGTCCATATCATTTTTAATGTCTAGAATCTAGATTGATTGCAATCTCTAGACCTGATACATTGACATCAAAAAAAAACATATTACATCATAATATACAGATGTGTTCAAGGCACAGCCAAGAAGGATCCACTTGGACACGGAAAGGTATTGCAAGGCATTGGAATCATCACTGTCATTGCTGACCCTCAGCAACTTCGTACAAGCTGATTCGGCATGTCCAATATCTTCAGCTGTGACTTGTCCATCAATTGCTGCCTGCAAAACAACAAGCATCAAGTATAGTCTAGGACATAAACACTTACAACAAAACAAATATATTTCCATACAATATGACAATATTATGTTCAATGTCAAACTCATAATTTAATTGCCAATATAATATGTTTTTTTGAACTATTCAGGCCTTAGACAATAGCTTTGCCAAACTCATCTTTTGCTCTTTGACTTCCTGAGTCAGCTTGCTGCCGCTCAATTTTGCAAGAACATCCTTGAACTTGTCAAAGCATTCCACAAACCTTTGGTCCAACGATGCAAGCATAGCGCATTGATTGCTCACAAAAGCTGAGAACTCCTTGGAACCAGTGAAAAGTTCACTGGCGTTGAGAGACCCATTGAGAGACTTTGTCAAAACGGCATCGAGACTGACCATTTGCTTCTGCAGCTTGATGAGATGTACTAGCACTTCAATGGTTGGCTGAGCAAATACATTGACAAACTGCAAGGAAGTGACAGACTCAAGCTTGTCGATGAAGAGTAC